CCCTGCTGAACAGAGAACCCACCCTAAGAGGAAGTGTGGCTCTGCCCCAGATCTCAGAGGCTGGCTCTGAGCTGTGAGCTACTCCAATTCATGCCGGTAACACAAGTACAAGGTTGGGTCAGAAAAGAGTAAATAAATAGTGAGATCTCTTAAATCTTCAAATTTCATGAGATTTTGCATTCTGATTAAAATAGTAAAACCTTGGTTCTTGAAGGTCTCCCATGTCGACCAATTCAGTTCTCAACAAAGATGTTCACAGAAAAAAAAATGTTTCAGTTGTCAAACAAAACTTTGGTTCTTGACCCAAAACCCTTTCATGCTGATATTATATTTTTAATGCGAAAAAATGATATGGTTTTTTAACAAATCACATCTTGACCAGTTTGGGAACAAATTAGTTTTGAGAACCAAGGTTCCACTGCACACCCATGTTTAATAATAATTTTACTGCTTAATTTTCTTCTCCCACATTTTCAAGCAAATATTTAACTCTAGGAAGATGCCTAACAAGGTTGTCCAATCTCTCTTTCCCTTCCATCTCCCCTGAAAGAAACTTATAATTGAGCTTGAGAAGAACCGAGGAGTTAGGACAGAGTATATGTTGCTTGAACAATTACTGGACTGGTTACATCAAAGAACTTTTAACTTCCTTATGACTCAAATGAGCATAGTAATAGCTCTTCTTTCATGATCGACATGGAGATTAACTGAAGAAGTGCTTCTAAAGCATCCAGTCACCGATTTGACACATGATATTAGTTCCCACTGCCATTCCATTTGAGTAGAATTAGTCAAACAGTATTAATCCACCTACAATTTTAATGTTATACAGCCCACATGTTACAGTCTTGTACTCCGAGGCAGACACCATCTAGAGCATTCCCTTGATCTGCCAGTCTTAGAAACAAAGTCCCAGTGATTCTCGATTCAGCAAATGAGGTAGTCTCTGCTGTGTCTAACTCTGGACATTGAGATATCTTTATGTTGCCAAACATCGTACTGTTCTAAGCTATGGGTTAAAACTAGGTGATTAAAAAAACAGATTGAGCTGTAAGTATATGATTGTGAGTCATAAAAAAGGTAATTTAAAAGATATTATACAATGAGTACTAAGATTTGAATACTGGGAACTGTGGGACCACTAATGAATAGAAGACAAAGTTGAAACTCTCACATGAAAACATTTGCACAGATTTATTTAGGGTGGTTTTGAACCACTGCGTTCAGATTAGTGAGAAAACAGCAGAGAAGTGTATAACTCACAACTATAATCATTCTCACCTATTTGCAAGTGTTGAAAACACCTAGAAATGCCATAATATTGCACATGTGATCATCAACTTTTGAGTTGTTAGTATCAGAAAAAGATGGTCAAGAAGTGACAACTATGACCCTTTTTTAAAATATTCTTTTTTCATTGTTTTTAAAAAATATTTTATTTATTTATTTTAAGAGAGAGGGGAAGGAATGGAGAAATAAAGGGAGAGGACCATCAAAGCATGGTTGCCTCTCAGGTGCCTCCTACTGAGGACCTGGCTTGCAACCCAAGCATGTGCCCTAATGGGGAATTGAACTTGTGACAATTTGGTTCACAAGCCGGCACTCAATCCACTGAGTCACACCAGCTAGGGCAGAACTGTGATCTATTTCTTGTATCTATTTATTACTTTTTTCTGACTGAGAAGAACAGAAAAGCGTATTTTGTAGATTAAAATATTCTCCATTGTTAAAAGCATTTGTTACAATTTCTCAAAATGTCCCTTCATTTGGCTTAGTTATTTGTGTGATTAAGAGTTTCATTAGTGACAGAGCACTTTTACTAAAAGCTCCCCACATATGCAAGATATTTTCTTTCCAAGAAATACTCATATTCTATATTTCTATTGCAAGCTGAGTGGAAAAAGCATGCCATGTACAATATCTTATTTCATTCTCATAAAATTATTATGAACTAAAAACAGAGAATTTTTAAATTTTATTTTTGTTCTCTTTTCATTCCATTTTACAAATAATAAAATACAGGTTTAAAAAGTTATCAGAAAGGGGCAAAAAAGACTCAATTTTGAGTCTCCAGATTCTTAGTTGTAATATTTTAATAGCATATTTTTCAAGTATTTTTCTGTCCTTGTATGCAGTTTTGTTATTAAATGATGTCAAAGGCAAGTGAGTATATTTAATTTCTAAAATATAAACTTTTAATTTTTATACTAACCTGATTTTAAGACAGTTTTTCTGATAACTAAAAACTATATTTTCAGGAATATTTATAAAGGACGTGTGGACAAAACCAAAGTGGGGTAGGATCAAGGGTGGGAAGTGGGGGTGGATGGGTCTGGGGGGGAAATGGAGACAACTGTACTTGAACAACAATTTTAAAAAAAGTTTAAAACCTCTATTTCTAGTGATATCATCCCAGACACTATTGAGTAATGGGAGAAAGTTAAAATTTGTGTAAATACTGGATTCTGTATTTTTGATCATTTTCATCCAACAAATGTTCTGGCTGCAGAGAAAAACATAAGTGATTTTAAAGCGTCACTCCTGCCATTGGGCAATCTGCCCTCTAAAATTCTCTACTCTGACTGAATTTCTTCTGGACCACCCCATAATTAAGAGCCCTGTCCACAGCTACCAACATTGGTTTCACATTCCTTCTTCTACCTGGGATTCACCTGAAGCAAAAACTTGTGAGAATAAGAATTGAGAGTGGTTACAATTTCTTATCATGAAGACTTTTTAGTCACTAAAATTTTGTAAATTTTTGGCAAAATGGTTCTCTGACCATCATAACCCAATCTCTTCCTGATATTTTTTACCTTTCCCTTTTTCCCACTGCCCCAAACGCAGCTCAGCCACCCTATGTCAGGCAGCAGAGGGCCTTTGGAGAAAGTGAAACCACCCTGTGAGCTGGTCTGCAACTTCACCTGGGCCTTTATGGCTTGAGCTAAACTTCCCGTGTCCCCCTGCATGACAATCAGTTCTCTTGTCCACTGCGAATACCTTAGATTCCAAAGACATTCCTAGAGCCAACTGTGCCCCCTCATCTAAAGTCAGTATTTTTCTCTCCTAGAAAAACTGAAGCCGTGAAGCAGCAGTTCCTCTACCCCACTGAGATGCCACTGCCTTTGGACCTGTGTTTCATCACCCTTAGTGGGAAACACACCCTTCACTGGAGTCCTGACTCAAACCCCTCTTCCTTTCCCAGCAACTTTCTCTTTTTCACCCCAACAACCCCCTTTCTCTTAGTTTTTTATCCAGTCTCTATGTATTTATATCTCAGCATATAAATATTCGACGTCTTTCCTACTCCACACCGCAGAGACTAGCCTGTTTTATTTCTGTCTGTCACAGCCAAGACTGAGGAAAAAGAAGTCCTCACAGCCCCCACTCCCATAGCACAGACTGCAGCCTGTGTTCTCTCCACACCGTCTGTCTTCTGGTTTCTATGGTTTCTTTTCTACCAATACCAGTCAATCTTAAAAACACATTATCCCTTTGTTTTGATGGCTGATTTCTTTTAATTTCCCTACTCCTTTCCTGAACACTCAAATCTTTCTTTACCCCTAAAATTTTAGCATCTCTTTTCGTGTCTCACTTTTGCATGTTGGTGACTTCCAGATCTTATTTTCTAATATTTTCTGAGTTTCAGGTCCCTATAGCAAATAGTTTCTTTGACCCAAAATTGAACTTGAACAAGAAGTTCAAAGTTAACAGGACTAATATAAAATTTAAGAATTTCTGTCAAAAACTTACGCTTCTATCTGGGAACACTCTGTAGTTGATGAGCCCACCATCCACGCTTTCCCCCAGGCAAAAACGTGAAAAGCATCATCGTTGCCCCTCTCTCTCTTCTGCCTGTGTCCAGTCTGTCCCTTTGTCCTGCCCATTCTGCCTCCTTGATGACTCTCTGTATCTTATTCTCTTCTCACCACTGCTAATCTCTCACTAGATCACCTAGCACCCTTAGTTGCCTCACCTCTTTTCCGATAGTCTTTCACTGGGTTACCAGAATGTTCTTTCTGAAACAACAATCTGATTGTGCCACTTCTTTGTTTCAAGACCACCAGGACGGTCCATTGCTTCCCAAACAAGTTGGAACTCTTCTGCAAGACATACGAAAACTCTGGCGACTTCTCCAAGCTCATCAATCTCTACTGTCTCACCATAGGCTCCAATTTTGCTCTTCTACCCAAGTTCCCTATTATACATCATGCATGCTTAATCTTGTGTTCCTTTGTACCTGTTGCTAATTTTTAAGGAACATCTTTAAAAATTTGCTTGGAAGATTCTTATCGAAGTGTCAGTTCTTGGAACTAAAGCTTCTTTCTCTCCCACAATTGTTCCTCAACATCTTCTAGGTTTGGTCCCCTTCCTGGGCCACTTACAAATCCCTCACATTCATTTTTGTTGTTCTACTACTTTCACGTTGTATTGTAGCTGCCCCTTTTCTTGTGTCTGCCATGGACACATTATTTTTGTTGTTACTGTTAAACTTACAGGGATGAGCCCTTTATCTTCATATTCTCAGCTGCTAGTATTGTGGATTTGGTAGGTGATACCTACATGTTTGTTGAATGAAAGAAATAAATCAATGAATTAATCAACCACCTCATAATTAAAAGATATTGACAAGAAGAAATAATAAATTGCTTTAAATTAACATTCTTTAATAAAAATGTTAATTGCAAAGCATATGACAGGACCCACCAAATTTCTGTATGAAATACATAAAACATGTGACCTTGCCTTGTCAGTTGGAAGGGTGCAGCTAAGGTGAGGACCCAAGTAAAACAGTGTAAATATGTTCTGGTACAACAAGAACCTTTTTTTCCCTTCCTGAAACATCATGTGCTATTATGTATCAAAGCCTTATAAACACAGTGCACAATGTCCAGGTGATTTCCATTATTCTGGACACCAAATATGGCTGAAGTGACTTTTAACCACTACAGCTTGACGACGAGCCAAGCCCTAATGCTGTGTGCTTTTTCTCCTGACAGGTATTTGAACCAGGCCCTACGAGACAACGTGTCGGTAGCAGAGAGTTCTCTGAACAGGGAGAGATTTGCTGTTTTGAAACAAGCTCTGAATGTAGTTGGCTTTAGTAGCTTGGTGAGTTATATCACAAATATTTCTCAGAGAAACCAACATTGAACTATTTATCAAAGTTAATCTTTCAAAACCTTTTACTGAGTTCCTATTATATTCCGGGTGTGGTTGCAAACAGTCGTGAGTCAGCAGAGAATAAGCCCCACTATCTGCCCCTTGGAATTTACATTCCAGTGGGGGAGATAGACATAAATGAGGTGTTCAGGTTCATTCAGGTTCACAGGTACTATGTAGACTAATAAAGAGTAACTAGAGGAGGGACTACTACTTTCAAGAGGGTGGCCAAGGAGACCTTTTCCCAAATGAACCATGTGAGCCAAAGAAATTTGACCTACTCGAGAAAATTGGTAGATCCTAAGGAACTGGTTACTGCCAAGAATTACTTTATTATAATATCTTCCTGAACAATATAAAACTGTTTTTATTTTTAAAGAATTGCCAAATGCCTGCAAGCATTATGGACCTGAAAAATTTTAATTCAAAATGTATAAGTTACTGCTGTGCAATGAAAATCTCTAGGACCATGTAAATGTTCTGGACCTGTGCTGTGCATTATAGCTGCCACTGGTCACCTGCAGGTACTGGGCACCTGAAATGTGGCTAGTGAGAATGAGGAAATGGACTTTTAGTTTTTCTTTGTCTTAATTAATTCAAATGGAAATAGTGCTGTATGTTCAGTGTCACTGAATTGTACAGCACAGGTCTAGTGCATCGGTGGTGTGAAGTAACCTAAGCCTTGAGACTTCTCAGGATTCCCACAAACCTCTTGCCCTTGCACATTGTCTCTGTTTCCCCCTATTAGATGTGGTGCACTTTTGAGTTATGACCAGTTCCTCATTACAATTAACGTAAAATTGCATGGCTAGCTTTAGTGTGCCAGTAGTCCAGGAATCCAGATTTACTCATGGATTTAAATATTGTTTTTCCTTTTTCTTAAATCACTAACTTAATTGCTCTGGGTGTTTGTTTTTCTCTTGCCCATATAGATAGGGTGAATGGGGCAGCGAGTGGGTGGGAAGGGGTAGGAAGGTGACGAAAAGGGAGGGGACAGAGGAGGGGACTCACCCTATATATGCATTAGCTTTGGGCATTTTGCTTCACTCCAACCTCGCCCCCTTCAGAGATTGGAATTCTAGGAATGGCAATCATATGGTTTAAATATACCTTCTGCTCCAATCTCTGCATTTGTCCTTTACTAACTCCTACCCACTTGCTCTTTCCTATCTTTACACTTGCTACTGTTGTATTTTTTGTTGTTTTCCCCCTTGCTTCATGCCTGAAATGCCTCTTTTCTTATAGGAAACTGGCATAGAGAGGTGGGTAAGGAACCATTCTACCAAAGTTCCAGTTGCTTGGAAACAGGGCTTTAAAATTCCATGATTGATTCTCAAAGTCAGGACATGCAAAATATACCTCCATTGAAGACAGCTGATAGAGAATTGAAGAACCTTTTTAGAAAAGAAATATGGACATTTTAACAAAAGACAATCCCTGTATCTTGATCCTTTGGGTGACTGGGATGGTGACAATTTAGTTCACTTAGTAAAGCTAGATCATGTCCAATAAGATTAGAAGGAAAGTATTTCTAAGTGGGTGATGGCCTTGAATCAAGGGTGATTGTGCTCCTGAGTGGTCGGTTCGCAAAAGCACCTCCACCTCTTCCTCCATCACCACCATTCCAGCCAGCCAGCAAGATGGCCAGTGATTGTTGCTCACTGATGCTCACTGTGCCCCTGCTCACAGAGCAGCTTATTTTTACCTCTGTTGTAGTAGTGACCACATTTTAATGCATAGTTACAGGTGATTTTCACATCTCTGTCTCCACCACTAAACTCTAAGATCCTTGAGGGAAGAACAAAGGCTTCTTGTCTGTGTATCCAGAAGTTCCTATCTCACAAGGGACTAGAAAACTTAATGAGCTACTGGATTTAATAAAGGGAGAAAAGGGTTATCAGGTAGTCTAAGAGGTAAAATGTTATTTAAACAAGCATAATGAGTTAAATTTAAAACAGTCATTTGTGATTAGTGAGTTATCAAAAACATTTTTAAGTAATGCCAAAATCATAGAGCACTGGACTGCAAAATGCCCTAGAGATCACCCCTGTCAATGTCCTCATTTTAAAGATGATATAATTATACCTTACGGTAAAAAGTAGAAGTTCTGGAGGGAATTTGTAAAGTACTATGGAGTATATTATTTCAACTATATATTTAAAAAGAAAATAATAATAGTTCTTAGTACAACTTCCATAAGCAGGAGCCTTTTATTTCCAAATTGCAGACGAGGAAAATAAACACAAACTGGAAAGGCTATCACACTTGCCCTGGATGGAACTTAACCAAATTTGCTATTGATACCATCACACTAAATATATATTATTCTAGAAAAGTATATTTTAATTTGCAACTTCTTGACTTTTGATTCTTGACAGAAAATGAGTGTCTAAAACGATATTTAAGGTATTTTTCTTTATGCAGAGTTCCAGATCCTCAGATATTATCTTTTAGCAAAGGTTCTTGTTTTGTTTTTTTAATGTTTATTTATGTTTTAAGATTTCATTTATTTACTTTTAGAGAGAGGGGAAGGGAGGAAAAAGAAAGGGAGGCAAACAGCAACGTGCAGGAAATACATCAATCTGTTTCCTCTCCTACACCTCCCACCTGGGACCTGGCCCTCAACCCAGGCATGTTCCCTGACTGGGAATCGAACTGGCGACCTTTCAGTTCACAGGTCGACACTCAATCCACCGAGCCACACCAGCCAGGGATCAGCCAATATTCTTCTATTCCTGTTACCTTCTACTCAAAGATAGTTCTTGCCAAAATCCATTTTTTCTGGATTTTCCTTGAAATATCTTAAAAAATAATTAGCATTTTATTTATCCAGGCATAGTTGTTTTCATCGTGCCTCCCTTAATTTTCCAGGAGAAGTGAAAAATTCTATAATCATAATACCAGTGTGTCTCATAAGAGAGGTAACTAGAAGATGGACACCACTGTCTGCATTCTCTGGTGAAACAGCCCCGTCCCCTGAAGTCTGGTCGGCTCCCACATGCAGTTCCATCAGCGTGGGAGGGCGCGTGGAGTCTGGCCTCCCCAGTGACGCCCAGCCAATCAGACCATCGTTGCACAGATTCATCTTTTATTTTGATATTTACGTGGAAACTGTTCGTGTTTATCAGAACATCACTTCCTTGCTCTCTTTTGTTTAAGGACCAGAAACATTAATTTACAAGAAATGTGCATTGAACAATGAGATTTTCATTTTGAACTACAGGGTCAAACATTCAAGATCTGAAAAACCACAACACCACTAATATGGTTCATATCTTTTTTTGAAAAAAAAATTGAAATGTATTTTTAACTTTAAGACAGGCATCATTTAGTTTAGTTTAAAATTTTTTTAAAATAGAGAAGTATTAGTTGTCATTAGATCTTTTTTTCTATAAGTTGTAGTGAAAATACTGAAATGCATTATACAGTCATTTTATTTCTCATCTAGAATAGGAGCAATTGACCATATTATCATCACCTTTTGAACCTACTCTTAGGTTTTTAAAGGGTTTGACTTTTAATTTATTTTCTTCTAAGTAATCCTGTTCATTTTCTCTATTTGTAAAATGCATAGGAGGTGGAGAATCTGTTTGTGATTCTAGCAGCAATATTACACATTGGAGACATTCGGTTCACTGCTCTCACGGAGGCAGACTCTGCGTTTGTTTCTGACCTCCAGCTTCTGGAACAAGGTCAGTGGAACAGCGCTAACAGTAACCTCTTGGTGTGCAGTTTTGCAGACCTGCCAGTAGATGGAGACACACTACAGAAAAGTCAGGTGGAATAACACCTTTCTCCACAGCAGAATTCTGTGAGAATGGTGGGGGGTGGGCGGGAGTGGGGTGGAGAATAGCTTGTAACTGTTCTTTTTTATAAATGGAGATGGGAATGAATAACAAGGTACGCATTTCTGTTCTGCTGCCCACCACATTAGCAGGTTGATTCTTCAGCACATACTTGGGTTGATTTATATTCCAAGTGTTCTCCACCCCATCCCTGCCACCCAGTATATTTGGGGGGCATGATATTACCTAAGGATTTAAATCAAATTCAATTACTTTCCTGAAAAGATCTTGTCAAAAATCTTTTCTTCCTCTGGAGTTGCCTGTTAGTCACTCCCAGGTTGCTCAGGTTGCTTTTTTTTTTTTTTTCAAAGCACCTTAAAACCAGATGTCAACAGCATATCTTTCCCTCATATCAAAGTGCTTTATCAGGAATTGGGAGAAATCATTCAGGTCTATTTCTGAAAGGAACGAGGGAAAAACTTGTTGTGATTTAATGCAGGAGCCCCAAGAACTCATTAAGGTTTTGATTACTTTATAGGCTGTTTCTTTAGTTGAATTTGACAATTAAGTTGGTAGTTTAGTTTTCTTTAATACACACACTTTCTAATGGGCGTATGTATATAAAGCTTATAAATCATAACCATAACATACAATGTTCTCTCTGTCAAAAAATACTAACTTTAGTTTTCAATGTTGCTTTAACTTTTAGTGGCTGGAATGCTACAGGTCTCGGCAGATGAACTAGTGTCTGCTTTGACAACCGATGTCCAGTACTTTAAAGGTGAGTTTTCTGTACTCTGCTGTCGCCTTTGTGCAGTCATGGTCTTTGAAATACAGAAAGGAAATACGAACTTACCTTTCCTCAGTTAGTGGAACTGTTTGTGTGAATTGAAAATGAAAAAAAAAACTTATGAATCTATTTGGTCACTTTAATCTGACTATACTTGCATATTGTGAACTCTTTCCACTTTTGAGAGACCATTTTGATTAACTGGTCACCTTTTCTAGCTAATCAGTCATTTTAGACAAATTAAGTCATCAGTGCAAGAGGGTTTATTTCATTAAAACATTGGATCTGTTTGTGTATGTGGGGCCCTGCTGCCCTCTTCAATGAAGAGCACCCCTTTTCCTCTACATCATCAGCTATAACAAAAGCTGCCCCTTAGTGGGTGTTTATGACAAGAATTGTGCCAGGCACTGTGAATGTGGGATTTTTTAAATTTTTACACATTGCTATGAGGTGCACATTGCTATTTCCATAACTAGATTGGAAGAGGTTAAATAACTTTTGAACCATTAGTAAATGGCATGTTTGGAATTAGAATCTAATGTTACCTGATTCCCAAGATAAGTCTCTGAGCTACATGCATCTCTACTCAAGGGGCAAGAAGAGTGGCTTTCCTTCATGCTCTTCAGTTATTCACTATGAGTCATGACCTTACCAAGCTGCTTGTGTTGTAATTCTGAGGACTCACCAGCCATCTGATCCTTTTTCCTCTAAATCAACGTTTTTCTCACTTCTGTTTATATGGGACCTACTTGCAGGTACCTGGGTGTGTGACATAATTTCTGCCTCACGTCTGGAGTTCCCAACCATGTTTCTGAACTCTGTGAATCTCCCCATTATCCAGTCAGCTGCTCAAAAGTCAAAAGTTGTTCTTTATACCTCTTCCACCTCCTTCTCCATTGAGTAGATCAGACACACTCCAGCTCTACTCCATAAGTAGCTTTCATCCCTCCTGGCTTCCCTCCCTTCCTGTCACCATTTCCTTAGTTTATCCTTCCCTAGATTATGGCAGGAACGTCCTCCTTAATCTTTTACTTGGCCATATCTCATTTTACCTTCTTTTCACACTGCTTTCAGGTATAATCTTTGTGAAATACAAATATGGTTTACATCCATGGGTAATAGTCTCTGAAAGATTTTCCAGTGCCTCTGTAGTTAAGCTTGTCACTGTGAGATAGGATGAGAGGTCCTTATTATTGAGGCCACACTTAACTTTTATGCTTCATTTTTAGCCATTTTCCCGCTGACAATCCTTACAATCCAGCCACATTGTTTCTTGATGTTATCCAAATGCATTATTTTTTCTCATGACCTTTTAAAGAAAAACTGAACTCTCCATTAATATCTATAATTTAATATATGCAGGTCTCTGCTTATACTTCCCTCCTCTCCATACACCCCTGCCATGTTGGTGACTCATTAGAACCTTTAATCAGGTTGACTCTAGAGACCTCAATTCAGTAACATCAAAAATGGCACATTGCTTTCACTGCTACCATATGTTGTTCCACCCGCTGACCTTGAACTTACAGCTCCCTGACTCTTGATTTCCTGATGTTTTGTTTGTTTGTTTGTTTGTTTGTTTTTTCTCAAAAGCAGTTCTGCTCCCTTATGTGCATTTCTATGGTTAACAACGTACGTATCCTTCATTTCACATCAACTCCCCTCATTTCACATGGTCATCATCCTACTGCCCAGCAGGATGACCTGATCAGCAGTGGGGAGCCAGGATGGTCAGTGCTGCGAAGCAGGGACATGACATTCTCCTTCCCTCTCCACTAACTAACAGTAACGCTATCATGGACTTGATTCCAAATCCTCCTCATTTAATGTTCTTTTTTTCTTTTCTTTCTTCTCTAGTCTGCTTTCTTCTAAAATTCTTATTATTCAAGATTTGAGAATGACACAGAAATTTCTACCTTAAGGCCCAATCTTGTTCCCACATTCCAGACCCACATTTTGGTTATTTGGATCATTTCTTTGAACATATTTAAAATATGACTTATTTTCCAGATGGCCAGGTTTTCAAATGCCTTAGGGATGATTCAGTATCCAAACCAGTGAACTGTTAGTGGGAAACTTGTTAAAAGGGGCCCTTCAAAGACGTGGGTCGCTGGCTGAAAGGAAATTACAGTCTGCAAAAGGTCAAAAGCTGTGGTCAACAATTGTAACAAATAAGATTGGGATGTATGTGACACTGATGTTAGGAAACATTTTAGATAATAATTGGCAGAGACCTCATTTATTAGAGCCATAACATACATTCTTTAACAGCTTTTGATGTATGGAGATGTGTGATGGATGAATAAGGATATACACAGTTTTGTTTGCTTTTAAATGAGAGAAACCCTTGTTCTTATGCCTCCTGTGCTTTCCACTGTTCCAGGAGATATGATCACACGACAACACACTGTGGAGATGGCTGAGTTTTACCGGGATCTCCTGTCCAAGTCCTTGTACAGTCGTTTGTTTAGCTTTTTGGTGAACAGTATGAACTGTTGCCTCCACAGTCAAGAGGAGCCCAGCAGGTAAGACCGATGGGTGCTGGTCGCTAATGCTCTCCTGTCATAGATGACTTAAAAAGCCTCACCTCATAAAGATGCTTTACCATCCAGTGTGACCCATAAATTAAACTATTATTAACATATTTTATTTTAACAAGGTGGTTTTCCTTGAAGGATTTTTTAATGATTTAAGCACCCCCAGCCCCTGGCTCCTGGCACATTGGTGAATTAATCAAATCATCTCTCATTCATAGAGATACAAACACAGTGTCTCTGGACTGAAGGCACATATGGCCTTTTGAGCATTAAGAAGTATAAAAATTTTAATCTAGGAAGAAAACAGTTCAAGAATATCTAAAGCAAGTACACTCATTGAGCAGCCCATGTCTACTGCAGAACCCATTTGCTGATGCTTTTTAGGTCGCGAGTTCTTCCCGGGCCCTTCCCATGCTGTGTGGGTCACTTGGCAGATGGTCTCTGTGGCCGTCATTCCATTCATTAAAGTCTTCATCAGCCCTAAGCAGAAGCTTTTCAGGGGTATCTGATCACCTAAACATTACAGATCTCCATGGCATCTTGTCAATGGAAAACTTTGTTAATATTCTTGTCACTAATAATGACCTTGAGCAGGTCATTGAAAGCAAAATTGCTTCCAGAAGGCTTTGTACATGCTTGTCTTTGAATGAAATCTTTTGAGTAATTCTTAGTTGTTCATATAGATTCCTTCGCCAACTTCCTGAAAATTGCTGCTTTTGGAGGTTTCCTGGAAAACACTCTAATTCACATGTATTAATGGAAAAGTTCCTAAATAAACGTAGACATCTCAGAAAATTCCAAGGACAAAGGGAGGCTAAAATTCTCATTAGAACATACACATGTAAAATCTTACTGTGTATTGATGAACATATACAATACACAGTCTGTGATTTGAGGGTAGACATAGTATTTATATTTTAGCAGATACACTTTAATATTTGGTATAGTGAGGATTTTTTATTTTGTTATTGCTAATAATCAGTTAATTTGTTATTTTTCTTTAAATATGAAGAGTATTTACAGAATGATTCTAATATGCTAAGAGTACCAAATGAATCTTGTATAACATTAACAGCTCTGCTGAAGTTGACATGGAAAAAATTAATACATGAGTTCAGCTGCATGTAGAAACTTTTAGAAAATTTCCTTTTGACATTAAAGTCTTAAAGAGTCTTAAATTTATATAATTGAAAACACACATAATCTAGATTTTTTTAATATATACACATACACACACCCACAAAAAATATAAACATTAACCTTGGAAAACACATTATTTCCCTTTTAGTGGATATATCATCACTATCTCAATATGTTATTTTATGATGTTAGTTTTATCTTTTAAAATTCTTTACTAAGCAAATGAATGAAGACAGGGATTAGTGGGAAATTAGAAATTAATTAATGTTTTATAAGTTTAACTTCTAAGATACAGTGTTCTCATTTGAGTTGTAACTCCCATTTTTTCTTCCCTATTTCTCCCATGGGTCACCCAAACCTAAATTTAAATCCTAAAGTAATGCAAAGAAAGGTTATGTTTGCAGTATTTCTAACTCATTGAAATTCATGGAAAGTTTAAGGTTTTGTAGATTTACAGACCCATTTCCAAAGTCACAGAAAGGTCTCAAAATTTGGGTAAACTTAGAATAGGCTTTATTTCTTATGAATATCCAAGTTTGTAGAAATTTTTGTAATGTCAAAAAAGATTACATAACATAAATAAATATATATTCCTATGGTTAAAGTTGGTGAGCACCCTTGATGTTGAAGGAAAGTATGTTTGATATTATATATTTGTATAAATTTTGCAAGAGAAAATAAATGGGAATAAGTTATAAAGGGAATAAAGTAATAAAGGGAAAACAAGTGGGATTGAAGCAGATGAAATGTTTGGTCTTGGGATGCCGAATTCATTTCCTGGATTAAGGCAAAATAGGTATAATATTAACAATATTATATATTTAAAAAGACTCTACTTTCTCTATCTAGATTTCAAATAGGGTTGTTTCTAAATGAAAATCATGAGGTATAATGCAGAAGCTGACCACTAGTTAATTTAAGATGAGCAGAAGCGTTCGCCATGTTTGCCTGGCCAAAAGCCAGCCAGTGAGACTAGCGTGAGGATGTAGACCAGCAGCTGCAGGCTGCCTGCATTAACCATTGCAGGCTGGAAACCAGCCACACTGGGCGGCCCTTATTCCAGGGCCACCCACAGTGGTCAGGACACTTCAACGCAGAAACACACTGAACCTTTATCTATTAAGCTTACTTGAAAATGATTACCAAAGCAGATAAAAGGGAATGATGCTAATAATAGTAATGATAAAATAGCAACAACAATAATAATATAATGCCTTTATTTGTTTAAAACTTTATTAATTAAAGCATGACTTAAAGAATATCACATAATTTCCAAAGAAAACTAATAAAGCAGCTAAGTTTGATCTGGCTTTTCTAGTGTTATTTGGCCACCACTCCTCTGTGAATTGTCAACTGACAGACAAAGATCATGTAGGTCATAAATAAATTATGTGTTCAAACCACATGAAGATCCATGTACAGATTCCTACATCTTCCTATGTAGAAATTTAGGACACTGGAGACACTGATCTTCTATTCCATTCTTCACAGCCAGCTTTTCTTCAGTGAATGTGACGGCATGTTTGCCGTCCAGTCCCAGCCCAAGGATGCAGCCCTTCTCCCCAAGGACAGGTCTTCCCTTAGATGTTCCATTCATTGCAGTCAGGCTAACTCTGTGGTTCCCTCATTCTCAGGAATCTTTACGATGACAGCCAGGGTCTCTTTCCCTCATTGGGCTAGCTTAAGTGATTAGGAAATAGTATCCTGTGGCTTTGCAATTCCCCTGCTTCCCAAGTAAGCTCAGTTATGGTCTGTCCTGATACAGTAGATGTAACATATAAACTGCGGATTGTCACCTCCTTTATTTCTGTCACAGCACCTTCCTATAGCTAGCTCTAAGTAGGTTCCTTGCAGGCTCTAACCTCAGTGTCTCAGAATAGCACCTTGAAAAAAAATTTTTTGGTGTAGAGAGGATTCTGAATAACTGTTTTTAATATTCCAATTCTTCCATGGTTCATTTTGCTTCATTATTATAAAAACTTTTCCTCATTTAGTAATTTTGGTTGGTGTTTTTAATGTAACATTTACAATAGAAAGTCTTATTCTTAAGCATTTGTTGTTCTTTTTCTCTTTTTTTGAGTTTTTTATTGTATTTTTTATTACCATTAAGACCCCTTTTGCTCCCCTCCCCTCACCGCAATCACCACACTGTTGTCCATGTCCATGAGTCCTTTTTCCTTTTTGCTCAATTCCTCCAACCCCTATTCTCTCTCACTTAGCTGTCATCCTGTTCTCTCCTTAATAAAATTATAAACCTTTTGAAAAAGATAGTTAAGGAAATACATTAAATTTATCTTTGGTCTGAAAAGGCAGCATTGTGAACAATGTTATGTTGGCCACAAGAAGAGTGTTTTATTGTTGTGTCAACATTATAAGTAGAATTTTTCACAATTTTTCAAACATGTAGTTGTATTATTACTTATTTTGATGTAACCACTATATTAAACAAGTGTTATTTGCACTGTAATGAAAACACATGTTCTTTTTATGCTTCACCTTCTTTTTAAATAAACTCAATGAGGATAATATTTTTATGATCCTGAGAGAAAACATAGTTAGGTCCCAAGATTTTTCTGCTCACTTTTAAATAAATTACAGTTCTATGAATCCTTTAAGTCCCCAAATATCCAGTATTTGGAGAGAACTTGATGGCTTCCGAAGATGAGAGGTCTCTTCTCTCCCCCACAGTCAAGGCCTATGGTGGAAGCCGAGTGCCTCCCAGGAAGGGAGCAATGTGGGCTTCTGTACCCCAGCTCTCCAGGGAAATGGGGGGCAGGAGCAAGAAAGTGAGGAATGTCTTGGTTTTCAGAAATCTTAAGGCTTTTCTAGTGAGAAAGATAGTTAGTTATCTCTGACCCCTTCTCTTGGCTTCTTCATTGCTTCCCACTGCTGGACCTCTCCTCCTGTAGTCCTCAAGAAATGTGAAGTGGATTCATTCCTGCACTACTTGCTCTCCCACCACCCATGCTTCAGGACAGCCTGAATGGAAGGAAATATTAAACACACAGAGGTTGAGTCACCACACCTTCCCAGGTGCATCTCTTGGTCAGGTTTCCTCTGGTTAGAAAGGGAATTGGGAATGGGACAGTCTAGTGAGGAGCTGTGGACATTTCAGTGACTCACTTTTTATAATGGCTAAAGCAAAGACTTGCGCTAAACTGCAGTTAGCTCTTATAAAGGACATAATCCCTGTGATTCTGAAATGAGATAAATGGTTGGAGAGTCTTAGTAAAGTGTAATGAATAATACCTTAAATTTTTAAAAATGGTTAATAATTTTGTGGGCTCTAAAGTTGAACCTGTTTTATAATACAACACATATCTCCAAGTGTGAATCATCAACATGAAATTAATTTTCCCCCTAAATTGTTATCTTCATCAGAGTTTTAGTGAAAACTCAACTAGAGTCTTGGGCAGGCAGAGGGGGTTGTAGAAACTCAGAGAGAATTCTATCAAAGTCTTCAGGCATCAAAACCTACAGCTTAAACAACTTATTCTTGTCATGACTTCTGAATACAATGGTTTATATTTATGGGAACTTGTAAAAAATATAACCAGTGGAACATTTTCCTTTTTACCATTAGAAACTCTCTAATAATAATAAACTAAAATTATACAAAATTAATAGATGAAGTTTAGAGATAACCCAGTAAAAGGAATTGAAGATTACTTACTTTATTTCTGGATCTCTCTCTCTCTCTCTCTCTCTGTGTGTGTGTGTGTGTGTGTGTATATTCATTCATTTATGTTTATATAATCTGAAATCCACATTCTTTTGGATAATCAATTTGGCATTCAGGTATAATATAGCAAATAAATTAAGTTTCAAACATACTTATTGAGATTTTT